GATAGATCCAGCAGAATAAGAACTGATGATTTGGAATCAGCTTTTGCAATCCGCAAGGCTTCCGTGACTGACAGAAGCGCAGTCTCAGTTGAATAGCCACTCCTGAAGCCTGACTGGTTGGCGTTCAGTTGGTTGTTGTGTAAGAAATAATGATACCTGGTTAAAAACAACTTGTTCAAGTGTTTTTGCTATGAAAGGAAGGAGACCGACAGGTCTGTAGCTATCTGTAAGTGAAGTGTTTAATGTAGGTTTTTTGAGCAGTGGGGTTACCCGAGCCTGCTTGAATGCAGTGGGGAAGGTGCCTGTGACTCAGTGAGGGGACAGAAGGAGAAGGGGGAAGTTTTAGGCGTGGATGAGTTTGTGTGTGTGTATGGAGCTGAGAACTGACTACTGATTGTTCTAGATTTTTCTGTGAAGAATGTGGCGAAATCATCAGCAGTTATAGAAGTGGTGGAGAGGGACAGAGGAGAGAATTGAATGTTTTGAAGAGATTACGTGTGTCTGTAGCGCTGTTGATCTTGTTGTGAAAATGTGAAGATTTGGCAGTATGGACTCGTGCAGAGAAAGATGAAAGCAAAAACTGATACATACTCAGGTCTGACGGATCTTTTGATTTGCGCCATTTTCTCTCTGCTGCCCTGAGTTTGGACCGATGCTCACGAAGAACATCAGATAACCAGGGGTCAGAAGGGGCAGCACGTGCTGGCCTGGAGGAGAGAGGACAAATATCGTCTAGACAAGTTAAAGTAGAGCATAAATTGTCAGTTGCTGCATTAACATCCAGAGATGAGAAATGAGTATGTGAGGGAAGAGAGGAGGATACTACAGAGGAAAGTTGGGAGGGTGAAAGGGAGCGCAGGTTTCGTCTAAAAGTAACCGGTATAGGGTTTGGTGGCACACAGGTAGGAAGATGTAGGTTAAATGTAATGAAGAAATGGTCAGAGATGTGTAGGGGTTTTACCAAAATGTTGGTACAGTACAATTGCGTGTGTAAATTAAGTCAAGTTGGTTGCCTGATTTGTGAGTGCTTGTAGTGGTAATGCGTTTGGAATCAAATGAAGCAAGGAGTGAATGGAAGTCTGCAGCATAAGGCTTGTCCAGATGAATGTTGAAGTCGCCAATGACTAAAAGTGGCCTGCTATCCTCCGGGAATGAGGACAGCAGCCCATCCAGCTCCTCTAGGAAGGTGCCCAGTTGCCCAGGAGGCAGGTAAATTACCACAACCTGGAGTTTTATAGGAGCTGTTGCAGTGATCGCATGAGATTCAAATGAGTTATAATTGCATAGGGGAGAGTGGGTTGAGTATTTCCAATTGTTAGAAATGAGAAGACCAGTAGCCCCACCCCTCCCGACCTGACGAGGGGTGTGAGAAAGAGAAGTTGTTAGACAGAGCAGCTGGGGTTGCTGAGTCTTCTGGACGAATCCAGGTCTCAGTCAAGCCCAAGATGCTGAGTGTGGAGTTTAAAGAAAAAGAAGAAATGAAGTCTGCTTTGTTGACAGCTGACTGACAATTCCAGAGACCCACAGAAAACAAAAGGGGTGCAATAGAAGATGTACAGATAAGATGCAGGTTAGCAAGATTGCGTTGCTGCGAGTGATGTTAGAGCGTTGTTGCGAGACAACCGGAATGTAATGTAAACACATGATAGAGGTGGAAGGGAGATGACCGAAAGGAGTGTGCAAAGGGAAAAAGAGTACTTAAGATCATTGCTCGGTTAAAGTCGCGCAGGTAAAGTAGGTCTTCACACTCGTAGGTCTTCACACGAGGGCTGAAAGCTTCCACCTCAGCTGACAGACAACAAACAAATACACAAGTCACCCAACACTTCAGAGAAAACCGCTGTGGCCGCCTTGTTAAATTAGCACACCCAAAAGCCTATAGCAGGGCAATTGCTCAAATCGAACCCAAAGTTCGCATTTAAGTGCAGGAACGGAGCAATATAAATAATAATAAAAAAAAGCTCCTTCTAAGCCGACGGCTGTTACTCTAATTACAAATAAAGTGCAATCAAAAATACAACGAAAAATGGCAGTAGAAATATCTAGAGAGCTAGGAAGTGTATTCTGACACTTTTTTTTGTTTTTGTTTTTTTTTAGGTCACTTTTAATTACTTTTCTTTTTTTTTCTTTTTTTTTTTTTTAGGTCACTTTTAATTACTTTTCTTTTTTTTATTTATTTTTTTTTAAATCCAACTTGTTTTACACTTACCTTAAAACACATTGCATTGAGAAGGAAAAAAAGCAAAGGGAAAGAAAATGTTCCGTTTTTTGATGTCAACATAATAAAATACATTAAACATTACATTACACCAGGGTTTCCCAAACTGGGCTTAATGTAAGAACTGCAGTGAGTATCTGAGTTTATAAAAAGCTAGTAATTAATTAATAAATAATTCAGTCATAAAAAAACTTAACTTATTTTTTTTTTTTTACCTGCCTGTCAATATGATCATTCTCTGATGTCAGTTAACTGTGAATATGTTGTTAAATTATTGAAATATTAATTTCCTCAGAGATATTTAATGTAAATATTTTTTAAAGAGTTTGTCTGACAATTTTTTTTGAAATCCCTGCATTATATGAAAAGAAAAAGAATGGAAAAAAATAATAAATATGAAAACAACTTTGACAATTAAAACTTTAAGAAAGCGAGAGAGAAATGGAAAGAGAATTGGGGAGAAATTGTGAATAATTTATTTCCATTACATTACTATGTAATCGTGTATTCCATAAAAAGTAACTGTAGTGTGATCATGAGCATTTTAAAATGTAATGTACTCTTATTACAAGCAGCACTGACTGTAACTAACAGCAGTGTCCAGTATGCAAATGAGGTAAAACCAAGGACACATGCTTTTATTAGGCTACTGCCACCTTTAGGAATCTAATGAAAATAAACTAAGAATCAAATATTTGATTTCAAATTTTGAAATCAAAATTGAGGTTTTGTGACTTTCTGTATGAATGCATTAGCCTTAAGGTTATATTTATAGACTTTTGCTCCTAAGCAGATGTCAAAATCGGCATTTAGAGGATATATGCATTAAAATTTACAGTATGTAAATGTATCTACAACCAATATGTATTCTCTACAAAACAGTATTTACTAATTTTTGTGTGCTGAATAGCACAGTGCACTATCAGTGCTGGGTAGATTACTTATTGTATAAGTATACAATTATATATACAATATACAAGTATAAAATTATATTCTATATTACTTATAGTAGTCTGTTACTGATTCCAAATTACATGTAATCCATTAAATTTTTAGGTGATGTAATCAGGCTACTTTTTGATTACTTTTAGATTACTTTTGACCTAACTCGTTTATCACATTAATTTAAATGGGATAATCTTGTACTGTATTAATACAAAGAGTAAAAGACTATATATTCTATTTGTATTAATTAACAACATAAAGTGCATTAAACGTTACGTTACACCAAGGTTTCCCAAACTGGGGTTCATAAATGAACTGCAGGGGGTCCGTGAGTTTAATTAAAAGCTTGTAATTAAATTATAAAAATGGAAATATTTAGTAATTTTATAATAACATCAATCAAATTTGTGCTTTTTAATGAGTTTGAAAGACAAAAGCCTTTCGAAGCTTATGCAATGCATGGTTAAATAACCTACTGATGATAATTCAAATAAAAATGAATGTGTTCAGTAAAACACTTCTTAAACCTGAAATGATTTTTGTAAATCCAGTGTTCAAATGCTGTGTATAAATCTGACTAATGACTGATCTCTGTGTGAATCTCCACAAACCTGGAGTCTTTCTGAGTGTATATTGTGTATGCAGTAGGACATTTTAGAAAGGAACATTTAAAAGATGAAAAAGAGGAATTGGGTAGAATCAATAAATTATTAATAATTGATTACAATTGTGTAAACGATATGTAATCATGTAATCCATAAAAAGTGACTGTAGTCTGATTATGAGTATTTTAAAATATAGATTAATCTAATTAAAAGTACTTCATTTTTGGAATCTGATTACGTAATCCAGATTACATGTAATCAGTTACTATCCAGTTTTGTGCACTATGTAGAGGATAGTGAACGATTTAAATGTTTTCCTTTGCAAAAAGCTATTGGTCATTTTTATTAAAAGATCGAGTTCATGCAGACTTAAAGCTGTTATTCTGCCCTTAAAGACACATTGCTTGTTGTTTTTTAACAGGTTGTTGCTCAGCTCAAAGCTACTTGCAGCGGCCTGTCAGAGGAGCAGCTGGCCAAACTGGGCGTGGCTTTGTTCAACTGCCAATCAGAGGTGGAGGGCCGCAGGACTTACCCCTGTACTGAAGAAATGGTAGGGTCAATAGCCACAACCTTGCTATTTTATAGGTGCAATATCAGCTAAACCAGTGTTTCTCAACGAGTGTACAACCAAAGAAATGACATCAACAGCAAAAAACGTAATTCTAAATGTTTTTTCTGATGCGAGACTTCTATTTTAAAAGACGTGCATGAAAGCTGTTGACACTTCTGTCAGATGCAGTGTAAGTAAAGAGATATTACTTCACTAAAGCGCAGAAACTACGAACATGCAGCGTGTGAAATAAAAGTTCACTAGTACTGCGTGTGTTAGCTGCGAAGGTTTTGCATGAAGATATGATATTCATTCTATTATTCAGGAGCAGTTTCCATGTTTCATTAACGGTTCATGTTAGTATTGTATATTCACCATGCTAACTGTTGTTTCCATAACCCAAAAATCCAATGTTATTTTCACTTAGTGTCAATTTGTATGCGTTTAAATGACTGTGGTGGCTCATACCAACTTAACTGTATAAATATAAATGGGTCGCGGCTTGATGACCATGGGAAAACATGGGTCCCAAGGCCAAACCAGTTGAGAACCACTGAGCTAAACTGTTTGTAAGTGAAACTCGTCACTGTGCAGGTCAACACGAGCAGTTCTAGTTTTCTAGAATTCACTGAGTCTGATTAACCCAAGTTTCTCTCTCCCTGCAGTCTATAAAAGAGTGCACAGCGGACATGGACTCAGACACGTGGAATGCATATCACATTGTCAGCAACCGAGCGCGATCCGTGTGTTACGTCACGCGCCAGCAGCACTTCCGCAAGCGAGCCGAGCTAACCGTCAACGCCCTGATCTCCACCGCAACTAGCCAGCTGGATGCCATGAAAGACCTAAAGGTGCTTTATAAAGATCTGTTTCATCTCTATGTTCTTCCTCTTCTTACTGTGCACAATCATGTCATGTTTATTCTAAAGCAGTGGTTCTCATACTTTTTATACCAAGTACCACCTCAGAAAATATTTGGCTCATTACCACCATAATGACCAACATTAAAATACAGTAGTGTAGTAGGCCTAGCTATTCAGCTACTAGGGGTGGGGATCACCAGAGGCCTCACGATACGAATATATCATGATACTTGTCACGATACAATAATATCGCAGAATATCGCAATATATTGCAATTTATTACCTTTTTCCAACTTCAAATTATGTCCCTAAAGGAAAACTTTGACAACATCTGTTTTAACTAAAAAGAAACATTTCTCAGTTTATCTCACTTCAGATGACCAACATTAAAATACAGTAGTGTAGTAGGCCTAGCTATTCAGCTACTAGGGGTGGGGATCACCAGAGGCCTCACGATACGAATATATCATGATACTTGTCACGATACAATAATATCGCAGAATATCGCAATATATTGCAATTTATTACCTTTTTCCAACTTCAAATTATGTCCCTAAAGGAAAACTTTGGCAAAATCTAGCTGTTTTTAACTAAAAAGAAACCTTTCTCAGATTGTTTCTCACTTCGATTTTATTGCTGCAGTGCAAAATGGGATTGTCAAGCAGACAAAATGACCAACACTCATGAAAACCTGTCATAAATGTTGTATGCACTTGGCAAACGCAATTATTTGTATTACATTCTAATCTAGTCCACCTTAATTAAATGTAAACTGGTATGCACTGCTGTGCTACTACAGGTATTTTGAACAATGCAACTTGAACTTGTACAAAAAAAAGTTGTGCAGACCCTTCAGCCATTGGGGAATTTGAAAGTAAATTACGGTTAAATTTAAAATAAAGCATTTACGTAAAACATATACGTTTACATAAACATCCAATTTAAACGTGGAAGGGCTTTCCTGATAACTTGCCGCCATCTTTATTTCACTAACTCACTGCATGCTGAAGGTGACCCAGCTGACCTCACCAAAAAAAACCTCAACACCACCATCTAGTGGACTGTGAAGAAATTGATTTTATTATTCTACCAAATAGTATAATAAAAGATCGATACTTTGCGTCCGTGTATCAATACAGTATTGCCACGGAAAATATCGCGATACTATGCTGTATCGATTTTCCCCCACCCCTATCAGCTACAGCTCTGCACAGTTCAATAACGAGGCAGTTTTATTCCTAATAAGAATATTTAATGTTGTCAGCCACTTTAACATTGTAAATACACGGTTTGAACTGCACTGTGCATACAGGTATAAAAAAAACAAACAAAAAAAACTTAAATGATTAAATTAAAATGTGTTGTAGGGATGTGCCGATACGAGTATCGGTATCGAACGGTTCACGGGGCAAATTCCAAATGGAAGTGATCATCCCTATCCTCTTGGAGTGGGGACTTCGGAGTGAGCAGGGCACGTGCGTACCATTATGTAGTCGTTTGGAATGCACTTGGCAAAGGGAGTGACGTAATTTCCTCATTATCTTCAGCTGGCATGTTCCCATGACAACACAGCAAGGTGTCCGTCAGCTGATCCCTAATGTGTTGTACCTAAAAGTTAAATAAAAACTGTACTGTACTTAAATGTTAAAAAAAACCTCAAAGATTAAATTAAAATGTATTGCGTTTTAAAATAATTTAGTGATTCCTCTGCCTACCACTAGAGGACCACACTTTGAGAAGTGGCTACGATCAAATCTCACATCTGGTCTCAGCTCCTGTATGCATGTTTTTGAGTTACCTGATCTTAGTAAGTCTGGCAGAGAATTGTATAATGACCGCATTTTGTTCATTTAGGTTATTTTCCTGACCGACAACCAAAACTCATTAGTCGCGGTGTTAATTTTGACAGCAAATTTTCATTTAGTTTCAGTCATAGTCTTTTGACTAAAATGCCATTTAGTTTGTCGTATTTTAGTCATCTGAATTGTTTTTAGTTTTAGTCTAGTTTTAGTCGACTAAATATGACTTCTTTTTAATGAAATACCAATGGTTATACAGGCTAATTATGCATTCTTTATAGCAACTTGTTTACCATATTCTTGATTCTTTCAAGCAGACATTTATTTCTATAAATAAATTTAGATTAATCTTTAGGGCCACTAAAGTGATTCAGTCAAAAAGCAGTGAGTGATTTTCTGTCTGTCTTCTGTTGCTTGATTAACATAAACGACTCGGACAATTGCAACTAAATTAGGCTGCTGTCCCTTTAAAACCGAATGAATGGATGCAATGTACTGATGCAAGCACGTCCGATATTCTCCCTACGGTTTACATTCACTTAAGATGTAATCGACTGTGTTTACATGAATACTCGTCAAAACGGACAATTCTACAAATTTTGTGTGTAATTCTCCGTTCATGCGACGCGAAAGAGTACTCGCGCTCTGTGAGAGGCGCTTTCTGTGTGTATGCTTCGGTATCTGCGCTCAGAAAACCGGACCGAATTAAGTTCTCTCTTGCATCGTCAGATTTATCCATATGTCTGCTCTTCTCTTACTCCCACATATTGACATTTTTGAACGTTTTATGAGACGTGCAGCAAGTGTATGTTAGCTTATGTCCCGCCGGATAGATCAATAGGCTATGTTACAGTTCATATGTATGCATCTAACCTCCGAACCATGCAACAGATTCGTTCTGAATTAATCTCTTCCCAAATCGTCCCTCCCTAACATTTTCGTCTAATTTTTATTCGTTGACGAAAATGTCAATAGATTTTCGTCATAGATTTTGTCATTCAAAACGAGTTTTAGTTCGTTATAGTCTTGTTTTCGTCTGTGAAAAAAATGTTGTTGACAAATTATAACGAAAATTATTTGTCAACGAAATTAACACTGATTAGTCGATCGTTAACCAGTAAGATTAGAATGTAATTTGGGTAACACTTTCTATGAAGCCCATATTTATAATACATTATAAGGGTATTCTTAAGGCATTATAATGAATGCATAATGCATTATAAAAAAAACTTATAATATGTTATATCATCTTATAAATGACCATAACAACAATTATAATGCTTACACATTTGTGGTTATAACTTTTAAGATTGATTATTTATAACACACAATGACACCACATTAAATCTACTTTTACATTTATAATGAGCTATATATCTTGACATCGGTTATTTAAGATGTGCACAGTATCTTACTACATCTTGTAAGTGGTTAGGTGTGGAGTGTCATTTGAGTGTTCCCTGTGAGGCTAATATTAATTTTGATGAGAGCTAGTTAATAATTTCAACTGAAAAAATGCAATGTTTATATGGTAGGTAACATTTTATTTTGATGGTCCCCTTAGTCTATATTGACTATAAGCAACTTTGCAACTACATGTCAACTAACTCTGATTAGAGTATTAGTAGCTTAGCTTAGGTTAAGGTTAGGGTTGGTAGAATGTTGACGTACTTGCAAAGTTACTTATAGTCAGTTTGTTTGTTGGGGAACCATCAAAATAAAGTGACGTTGGCATATATTTAGCAGACCTACTAATACTCCAATGACTCAGTTGACAGTTACTTACATTTACATTTAGACATTTAGCAGACGCTTTTATCAAAAGCGAATTACAAATGAGGACAATAAAAGCAATCAAAATCAACAAAAGAGCAATGATACGCAAGTGCTACAACAAGTCTCAGTTAGCTTAACGCAGCACACATAGCAAGGTTAGAGGTCGACCGATATGGGTTTTTCACTTGCCGATGCCGATATTTAGAAATCGGCAGCTGATGGCCGATATATGATGCCGATTTTCTTTTTTTTTTTTTTTTTTTTTTTTTTAGCGGTTTCCCCGGTAACGGCTGTAATCAAATAGGCTCTACTTTATCAGGCATTACAGGAAAGACGAAATTAAAATGACATCGAAACTTTTCTGAAGACAGTCGGTTCTTTTCACAGATATTACATTCATATAAAAACATCAGCGCTGCATTTTAATTTTGAAACGTGAAGCGCTCATTTTATTCAACAAAGTATAAGCCTTTTGGAAAATCTATTTGTGGCAGTCAGTTTTGATATTGTAACGAGCCGCCACAAATAAGTCAATGTATGGGAAACACTGGACACTGCTATAAGTCAAATGGCCCTAGTGATAACAAAAATAAAAGAGTTCACACATATTACACAGCCTGCTGCTCATAACTGCTTAAGAGTGCACTGGCC